AAAAAAAAAAAAAAAAAAAAAAAAAGGAAGAAAAGGAATCCAAAAGTACCTGCCATCCCAAACTGCAACATTTGTGAGGGAGGAATAATGAACAGAATCTAGCAAAGGAGGCTGAAAGAGAATGACTAGAAAGGAAGTCTCTGTATTCTCTACAAATTATGACTGATACTGTGAACTATATGGTATACTAATACCCACTATAGGTAATTATCTGAAGTATGAAAAGACAAAAAGTTGAAAGATTTAATTGGATTTTGTTTGCAATTTATGAATCTGCAGTATCCCATCTACAGATTTAGACAAAGCAAAGGATCCACTGGGCATGGCAAAGCAGTCCATTTTTATAAATTAGCTTGAGCAGGAACAGCGAAGCAATATAGCACAAAAAAGAGAGTTTGTTAACATCAGGCTTTTCCAGGTAACTTCATTGGTAAGGATTAAAAGCAGAGACACTTTCTTATCATGCAGGCCAACACTGGCCCCTTTAGTGATTTGGCTCTCATCCCTCTCCTGATTTCTCAGAACGCTAAATGAATAACTTAGTTTCTCCCTGGTGACATGAAACTTTGAAGTGAGTGACTCTATTTTGGTTTGCTTGGCTGGAGCCTGGCACAGGGGTTCAGTCCAGATCTATAAATATTAGTTAACAGCAGACAGGACAAAGGCTTTGTCTTTGTTTATTCTCTTTTACCAGAAAATGTAGTGAAACTGTAAAAGATAATCTTTTGTCCAATTTTTAACCTTGATTTCTTCTTTCAAAGTAAATGTAAGTTATTTATCACTTAAAAGCCTCTCCTTCCTAATCTTCCTAGAAGTTCTTGAAGTGGGGGTGCTGAGAAGAATAAAGGAATCTGTCATTCAACTTTTTCTTTTTGTCACATACACATTGCATTCTTTGACTTTCTCTTTCTTCATTTATTTGCCTCCTCTGTGCATACTTTATTATAATATTTTCTCACCTTAAAATAATGAAAGTAAAAGTTATTTTGAGATAAAGACAATAGGAGATTGTTTACATCTATTGAGGGCGCAGTTTACTGTTGTGTTATGTGACTAGCAGAAGTAACCATGCAGCACAATTAAAAAAGGAAGGAAGTTGGGGCTGGGGATTTAGTTCAGCGGTTGGGTAGCCTGCCTTGCAAGTGCAAGGACCCAAGTTCAATCCCTGGTACCAAAAATAAAAAATAAAAAAAAAAGGAAGTTGAGAATGAGCAAAAGGAGGCAAAAATATTAGGTATACAGTAACCTTTCTGAGTTCTCTCAGAAATGTAGGTATAGTCACATCCTATGACTTCTAGCTAGTGTCTTATTAGAGTATGAGGCCAGCATGCAGCCACAATGAATGCATTGCTTTTCAACTCACTTGAAATGTTACTGCAATCTGCCATATACCTCACTTCCCAGCCTGATATTTATCTCTAGTGTGTGCAGAGCTTTGCTAATCCCACTGAATGCTTTACTTTGTAGCTTCTCCATTGTTGTTCAGGCCAGGCAGAACATCAAGGATAACCAGGCCCTTACGCAAATGGGAACACTGAGATACTGAGCTCCTTGGAAGAGAGATTAAGATTAAAAAAAAGAAATCACAAAGGAAGGGATGATCCCTGTATCCACACTGTTACAGACCAGATGCTTGTATCTCACTGCAATTATATTAAACCACTTCGCCCCAGTGGCATGGTGTTGGGAGGTGGTACCCTTGGGAGGTAATTGGGTTTATATGAGGTTATGAGAATAGGCTCCTCCTGGTGGAATTAGTGCCCTTATTAAAAGAACAGAGATACCCCGCTGAAGTGAGGATAGGAAAATGTGATGACTGTACTTCTTCTCTGCCATCTTTGGATTACTTTTAGTATGCTATGCATTCTCCCATGGCCACAATATGGCAGGAAAAGTTTCAGGAATAATATAACACAGAATCTCCATTTGTGTTCTAGCTAGGAAGAATAAGGAGAAAGAACAGTACTAAGAGATGTTTATTTACTTATATCTCATTGTCTGGAAGTATGTGAAACACATACCACCCAGATAACAGAATTGAGTGGTAAAATAATTTTTTACTTTGATATCCTCATGGAGAAGGATAAAAGGGAAAAAGTGAGTTGTAAGTATAATTTCACTCTACCAACCTAGAATACTTGCCATGGGTGCAAAACAATTTTTCACATACTGCTCTGATATGTCCGTAAGTACGTCGTGAAATCCAGGTAGAAATATTTAGTTTGCAGTTGCATATGCAAGTCAGGAAGAACACCTTCTCCAAGAACCAAACCCTGAGCACCTTGAGTTAAAATTTCTCACTCTTCAGAACTGTAATAAATAAATGTTGTCCTACCCCAATATTTTGTGGTATTTTGTTAAGGCAGAATGGGAAGTTACCTTTGAAACTGTTATTCTAAGCCACAATATCTATTTTTTTTTAACTTAAGGAGTGAATTTAATATCTGCTTGTTATTTTGTACCTTGTGACATTTTACTCTTGCTCCCTTTTCTTCTCATAGCTTCTAGAAACATCTGTTTCTCTCATACAACTCTCAGTGTAGTGGTTCTCCATGATCTTTCCACAGCTCTCGGCTTATTTTCCTTCAAGTCTCCCTAGGTGATCTAGGCATTTATGCATGAACTCTCCTGCTCCAATATATTGTTTAATCAGTTGACTCTGATAGCTCAGCATGTATTGTTTATTTCTGGCTGGTGTCCTTCAGCCATTTTAAATTCAGCATGAGTCAAACCAGTGAACTGGAGACAAGATGGGGGTGTCACCCAGAAGCTGAGGTTTACAAAACTCAGAGATAAAGGGAAGATATCGATTGCATTGGGTACTTCCTAATAATTTAAAAAGGGTACAGTTCGAAATGTGCAGGCATCAAAAGCGTCAGTCTAAAATATAAGGTCAGTATACCATGTCCCAAGTAGCTGCATTGTCAATATCCAGATCTGGCTCAAACAAGGTTTGTCACTATGATCCCCCTCCCTGAAACCAGGGTGTTTTATATTTGGAAAACTGCGTCTCTCCAGCTCTTCCCTGCCTTTGAGCAATGAGCTCTGAAATGTAAGATGGTTTATACAGGAACAAGAAGGAGTTCAGGGCCGGTGGGGCAACTATCTAGATGATGTGTTTGGTAACTTATAGGTGCATTATTTTCCTTAATTGAACACTTTCAGTTATTATTTATTTTAAAATTTTCTTAGGATAGTTATATTGAGCTCTACTTTTAAAAATTCATAACAATAAATTATGAAAAAAAGGATCAGATCAGGGATTTCAGAATTTAATGACTTAGAATGAATGGATTTTACTTATATCCCTCTAAAAATAGGAAGATATAACTTGAATGAAATATATCTTGATTGAAAATCACCTTCTGGTAGTTGCAGGTATGGATAGATGGGAGGTTCCATAACATCAAGGTCATGAATATAGCAAGTGGCATTATTATCACATATACTAAAGTGATTTTGGTTACATAACAAATATTTATCAAATGTTTATAATGTATGGGAAGGAACTGGGAGCTTAACAGTTCCTGGGAACTAAAAGATGGAGGAATAGACACTGGTTTCAGTAGTCAGAGGATTCACAAACTACTAAAAAATTCTGATACAAAAGCTAATAGGTGCTCTTATGGTGGTACGATAGGGAAGTGTATGGTGAAACGAACATCTAAAGCAAGACTTGGGGTTGGGAAGATTTCCTGCAGAAAGTTACCTAAACTGAGACCAGAAGGACAAGTTAGAGATGGGGGGCAGTGTTCCCAGAGCCCAGCGTGTGAGATCCTAGAGCTAAAGGTGTGCTCAACGACCTGAAAGAAGACAACACTCCTCAAACATAGCACGATAAAGGAAAGGGACAAGAAGAGGGAAGTGCTTTGGAGCAAAGGTCAGAGGAAAGGGCTTGGGGTTTGCATGATAGGTTAAGAAGTTCGGACTTTATCCTAACAAATATGATACCCAAGTTAACAGAATGATCTAGAAAGCAGAAAGGACACTGAATTTTTCCCAAAATCATAGAGCATTGCAAGCAAAGGATTTAAAAGCTGCAACAGAATCTAAGAAACAGGATTGAGATTTTGAGAATATAGGATTTGACTTCAAAATGTGAGTTATGAGATAAATGATAATCTCTAGAATTATATTAAAGCATCAATAGCTTTTAATCTTAGTGAATATATTTTTGCATTACGTATTTTCCCAAAAGAGATGTGAATTAAGCAAATGAGAAAGGCTCAAACAAAAGGAAGTACAGAAGATGGTAAATTGCCCACTGCAGTCAAGGCTGAGGAAGGTGTGATGGCAGATATTGACCTATGTTGTTGCCAGGGAAACCAAAGCTCTGTAGTTTTGAAGTGGTTTCTCATTTGAAGAACAGATTGGCTTTAGTAGCTACTTAAGACTTAAAATTATGAGAGTTGGATCATTCATTGTCACATGCATTCCAAATTCTAATTAAGTGACAAAGACAATGGCTACGTACTTCCTAGATGAATGCTCCAGGAACCCAGAGGCTGTCAAAGTCATAAGGCCGAGGGTCAGTAAAGAGCAAAGTTAAGCTGTGGCCTCAGTCCCACTTTTCAGCTCCATTTTTTACCAGACTGTCTTATTAATTATAATGATAGCCAAAATTTAGGAGGAGAAATACAATTAAATGGGTCTTATTTATTAACACAGGATTGAAAAAAATTATATTAGGAGACCTGAACCTCATTAAACCAATAAAAATCTGTCTGACTTTTCTCTTTCAGGGGTTTCTGAAGACGCAGTCCACATTAAATGATTAACATTGGGGTGCTAACTGAGCACTAAAGATCATAATTAAGCTGTATATAAATCACTTTCTTTGATCACCAACAACCTGGTCTCATAATACTGTTATTATCTTCATTTTATAGATGAGATGATCGAGAATTAAGGAAGTTAAAATTTAACCAAAGACCTTAGACATAAAAAAAGAGGCATTATTTGAATGCAGTCATCCAGATGCATGTGAGGTGGGTTAAGATATTTTATTGGATTGTTATTAACAGGTGATATTATCTTCTGATTTAACATCACAGAATTTCAGATATAGAAAATAACTTGCAATCATCTAGATAGACTTTCTTATTTTGAAAAATGAGAACAATGAGCTTTAGAAAGTTTATGCTGCTTCTCTAAGGTTTCACATAGAATTAATGACTAACCAGATCAGAACCCAAAGCTCCTAGCTCCTAGGCAATTTCCAACATACTTGCTACCTTTTTATTGAGTATGAAAATACTGAGTATTTTTGGCTTTTCTTTGATGTTTGTTTGCTTTTAATTCATGCAAGTCTACTTATCTGGGCTATTTTGGTTTTCTCTATATAATTTTATTTGGACAGTCTGTTTTCTGAAACTAGAAATAAAGATGATTTTTCCAAATGTTCAGTCAAGAGAGTCCTAAGCCAGCAGGGTGCACACATTTCTTAATGCATGTGGCTTTTGTGTGGCTGCATCTCAGTAATGAAGGCAATCAATCAGGAGTTGAGTGATCTACAGCATGTCCTTCTTTGGCCATTATTTCTTAAAACACACTGTTGTCATCTTGTCTCATCTGGCAGAATTTGTCTAGACTATATACACTTTTAATTCAATTATCTGATAAGAGAAAAACATAGCCAATAGTAAAGAAACATTCCTGGCACAGGGGGATGAAAATAAAATATGCCTGTGACAATAGCACTGAAATAAGAAGGCTAGAGAGTGGATCTGAATGAAGAACAGCTAGTGACAAAATAACTACACAATCTGGATGGCATGAAATGGGCCCAGGAGCTTTCTTTGGTCTTTTTGTTCCAGAAAAAGAATCAGGAGAATATTACGAGATATCAAGGCAAGGAAAATTCGACATTACGTAAAAAACAAAGAGCTGAAGAAACAATAGCCAAGCAATAATAATTTTACAATTTGAGCGACCATTTAAAGCTTAGAGTAAACATTTGAGAGAGGACTAGAAAAGTGGATGTGGGAGAAAAATTGCAGGAAAGCAGGAATGAAGAGTTGCACAAATAGCAAGGCTTTATTAGAGTCATGTTAATTCTTTGGTGTAATCAAGAGAGAAAAAGTTCTGCCTAAAGTGAAAAAAATCAGACTTCTTTCTACAAGGGTGACAGGGAAATAGCTGTGAATTAGGCCTGTCATGTTAAGCCAGGAAAGAGCTACCTCACATTGTCTTTTCAGACAGTAAGGCCAAACAATCATGAAACATAAGTATCCCTTAGTGCTACAACAAGATATAGTTGCTTGTTTCTTGTATTTCTAATGGATTATGCACTGATGGCAAAAAGGTAAATGTGGCTCTATTTTTTTTCTTTTGTACCAGGAATCAAACTCAAGACCTTGTGCTTGCAAGGCAGGCAGTGGAACCACTTAGGTAAATCCCTGGCCTAATATGCATTAATTTTACCTTTTACTATGTCATTTATTATAAAATAAGGCTATATAGCTTAAAATTTATTCAAGGAGATACAATACTAACAGAAACCAGAGAGAAAGTGAGATTTAGCTCATTTAAGAATAATTTTCATTTCCTATTTTAATTGGCTGCAGTACTTAATATATCAGTATCATTTTATGCACATGTTGAAAAAGAAAGGTGTTAAGACTAATTTTTGATATATCATCTTGGTTGCATTTGACAGAGAAAAAATAACTCTAATAAAAATTGCATACTTTTAACATGTGAGTTCAGATCTTACTTTTGCCTCCTTCTCAGGCTTAGATTAAGTCCTAGGTCTTTACAAAGCTTTTTTCAGTACTAGCAGTCCAAAATAGCTTATACAGTTGTAGATTTATCACATTATTCATTCATCAATCTAGCCACCCACCCAAATAAGTATTTATTGGGAGTCTGTTAAACACTTCACATTGTGATAGAGTCTAAGGAATCAGTAATAAATAAAAACATTCCTACAGTCAAGATGAAATACCAGTAAAAATCAGAGAAATAAATGCATAATTAGAACTTTTATAAATGAGATATGTTAGGTAAAAGAGCCAAGAAACCAGGACTAAATCAGGACTACAACAAACCTTTATTATAGGAAGGATCTGCCCAGCTGTCTCTAACAAAGGAAAAAGCAGCATGGAGGAACAGGGAGCTTCTTTTACAGGAGTGGGGTAGAGTTGAATAAAGTAGCATTAAGAGATTGGAGGAGCCTATGACATCACTAGGTGGGGCTCCTGACATCACTGGTTACTGGGAGGTAGCAAGTATCAGGTTACTCTTTAGGCATGAAGAGAGGCATGATGGGAAGAAGGCTGTCCCTTGGTAGGAGAAGCCATATTTAACGTGGAGGCTGCTGTTCCATGTGGCAGCCATCAAAAGTCACAGAGCATTATGGGAAGGAGGTTACTATTTTATGTAGCAGCCATTTTGAGGCATGGGAAATCTAACACTATGAAGAAAAGAAATATGGCAGTAAGAAAGCTTATAAAGAAGGTCTAGACTCCTTCACACATTCAGGGAAGGCTTCTTAAGCAGGATTAGTAATGTACTAATTATATAAGCAGAATTTACCTACAAAGAAAACAAGACTTAGTGACTGCCTTGCTGCACGAATTAGTGACTCATTATTATAGAACATTATCATTTGTGCTGGCTTATTTCTTTAAGAGAAAGGGAAAATCTCATATTGCTTTGAAGGATTTATAAGTACTACTAAAAATGATTAGAAAGGAAAGAAGGGACAAAAAAGTACAAATTGGAAAAAAAAGCTTCTGTACATAGGAAGGGGAGGGGGACTTGGGTGGGGAATGAGATAAAACAAAATAAAATTTATTAAAAAAAAGAAACAGAACTATTGGTTGAGAAAATTTCATAGAGATTACTTTTCATCACAGGTTTTTCCATAAGTTTAAATATTTCTAGGCAATGTAACAGAGTGAAAAAACTAAACTCTATAACACCTAGCTGTCCTACATTTATTTGAATCACAGCTCTTATGAATATTAGATAAATGACTCTGAGAAAGTTATTTACCTTTTCTGAACCAGGAAATCCACAGCTAAGAAGTGTAATAATGAACATTCTGCAAGTTTACTGTGAAAATTGAATGAGAAAATGTGTGAAAACATCTCAAACATGAGTTACTCAGTATCTGAGATTCATGTAAAAGATAAATCTCCAGAATACTTGCCTCCATTGGCTTACTTGCCTATGTTTACTAGTTTCATTACTATACCACATTTTATGATTTTATACTTCAAAGACTTTCTTCCACTTTTAAATCCTTTGCTTAATAAATTTCACTTATTATGTAGTGCTTCCTTTTGAAATCTTCACACATTTATAGCTAAAACTCAGAGCTTCTGAGGGGCATGATTATATTATTTAAATTTTCACACTAAAAATAAAGAATTTTCTCCAATGTTTTTACTTTTTTAACTCAAAGTAGCTACCCCTGGTAGGAAGAGTCACTTCAAAGCAAGTCTTGTCCTAAGTCCTTTCCAGGAAAATCAGAGTAAACATGCTGAACCAATGGAAAAGTCAAAGGACCTGAGGTTGGAAATGGATGCAGCATGCATTCTTCCGTCTGTTCGTAGGTGATGGGGGAAAGAAAAAAGACCAAGCTAAATCCCTAGTTGTAATGTGTCAAGAAAAAAAGATTTACATAATTTTAAACTAGATTCTTTGATGTTTCTAAGGTTTCTAGTGATAGGTCATTAGCTTAGATGCTGAGTTGGATTCTGCATCAATGGCTAGTTCTCATCTTCTGAAAGTTGCTACTCATTATTTGATAAATTCGAATCCAATGAGTATTTAAAACATGTACACTTCAATCCATAGTTCTGCTTTTTGTGTACCCTCTTCTTGGTTGCTACATTTAGTGAGCTGCTCTCCTCAGAGCATTCCTGACAACCTCAAGGAAACTTCATTAAGGACATAGGAGTGATGTCCTCCCTTGGGCCATGACATGATACTATGAGGTGCTGTCTTTTGATTAACAAGACCAGTGATAAACCCTGGTATTATTTTTTCCTCAGGGTGTCATGTTAGTGTTGTGTGTGAACTTGCCTATGGTAGAAGTTCTTGCCCGAGTCTATATAATATAAGGAAATCAAAAGTCCGCTTATCCATTTATCCTGCCTGTTACAGAGGCTAAAATTCATACATTACAGGATTTCCCTCGTTGCCAATAGCCTCAAAGATTTCTTTGATCAAATGTACGTCTTCGTTTTGACATGCTATTAAGCCATTGTTCACTGGTTAATATTTTCAAGAGTTAATTTTTCAAGTCAGTGACTGTGATTTGGACAAGAAGTCCCAGATATTTCAAGGGTAGTGGTAGCTTAACACAGCGATTCTCAGATCAGTGCTAGTTCAGGGGGAGAACCATATGTAAGTTTAAATGGCTTGGAATAAAAAGATGTTATTGAAGGAATTAGACAAATGCCCTACACTTCCTGGTCCCTGAATGTCCTTTATAATACTTGGCTTTCAACATCATGTCTACAAATTGTTATAATCTCTTATCACCACCAGCTATTAGGCTTTGAAATTTCTCACAACAATATTAATGAAAGGAAATATATATGTTAAAGCCAAGAATCTTCCCTTGAGAAATCTATAACTACTGATCTTACAAGAAGTACTATTCCTAACAGAAGTGCAGATTCATAGCTAAATGAGCAAAGATGAGGAAGTCTAATTCTTTCAGGGATAATAAAATGTGTCTTTAGAAAAACATTCATGTTGAACTCAGTTTGGAGGAAATTACAAGACTTTGTTACCTTGGAGAATCCTGGAAACAGTAGGCACAAGATAAGTAGAATTGAGTATGAGAGGTAGTCTGACATGGGAACCATAAGGACATAGCAAACGTATCATGAGAAAATAAGGGCCATCGTGCTAAATTCTGGGCAACCAAAGGCAAGAGGGAGTTTTAATGTTTGGAGAACAATGAATGTAGGAGAGAAAGTTAAGAAGAAAAGGTTGGAAGCTGACAAATAAATGTAAAAGTACTTTTTCTTAATATTTTATATGAGATACATATATGTGAGTATAAATAAGAATTTAAAATAGAGGTAATTTAATAAAAGAATTTGCTTTAAAAAAGTGTTGGAGAACTCTGAAACAAAAAAGGAAGAGGTAAATTTACTTAAAAGATCAGTAGTTTTAAGAATTCATTCACTTTTGTATAGCAAAAGGACTAGACTGAAATGACACTGCCCCGTGTCCACAGTTACCAACACCAAGTGACCTCTGCCTGTGGAATAAAGCTCTGTGGGCAGCAACCCAGGAAGTAGCGCTCATCCACACCCCAGTTGTGCCATTGCTGCAGGAGGCACCAAGAAAGCAGAACTAATGGCTTTGTACCATATCTCCATTTCTAACCAAGCCAAAAGCTTACTAGAAAGAGAGTTTAAGAAATGCAGTTTGCAGGTTCCTGTCCCTAGTGGTAGAGAGGAAAATACAGAAAAATGGTTTTGCAGCTAAATAATAGTATTTAGCAACCACATGGCCTATTTAAGAGCCTCTTGCCTTTTCCCCCTCTTTTCTTCTCTCAGATCTCCATCAGAAAAGAACAACATGAAAAACACACACATATCTGTCTTCATTTCCAACGTTGTTTACCTATGCATTTGTATTTACTCATGGTAGTTGAGAAGTGTGCTAAATATGTCCTGGAAACAAATACAAAAAAAAAAAAACCTTGAATAAATACATACAGGTTAAGGACTAAATCCTTCACAAGCAAGAAGGCTAGGAATATTGATTTCAGAAAAATAATAGTCTATTCTATTTCCAATCTCTTCTTTATTGACACAAATTAAAAGACCCTATTCTCTTATTTTGTAAAATTAATGATCTCTTTAATTTTGGATTCCACTATTAAACCCTTAGGTAGACAAAAGTTGTATTTTTCCAATTCAACAGTCTCTGTTAATGAAATGTGACAAAGTCTAATAAAGCTGTTATTCAGGTTGCTCAGCTGTACTCTATCATTCATATTTAGAAAAATAAAATGCATCTATTTCAAAGGAAAATTAAACAAGTTAAAAATTAAACAATAATGGCAATAGGAAAACTTAGCTAAAGAACAAAAATATATATAATCAAATATATATAATCAAAGAAAGAATTCTGGGGTTTCAAGACTAACTTAAACAAAAGAATTATGCTCTTAAAAATAAATAATTGCATTTGTTATTTTTAAAAATTAATTTACAAAAAAGAAAAATAAAAAATGCTTTCACCATTAAATTTCTGTTTCCTTATTATAACATTATTTTTTAAGGGCACAGCACACTAGTGATGAATAATTCTATATTACTGTATTCTTTAAGGTATATTTTAAATGGTAATGGTGGCACTGCATTGAAAGCTTAAATTGAGAAATTATGTAATTGTTAGCT